GCAAAAGGGCCAGGAGCCGGAAAATAATGGCATAAGTAAAATTTAAAATAATAATAACGACATTGGATAAGATACACATAAGATAAGATATCATACACTTTTGCGGATGCAAAAGATGACAATATAAATTTGGGGAAGAAAAATACCATCAGATTTTTAAAAACAAAATACTTAGTTGAACTTTTGGTTTGAAAAATGAGGAATAAGTTGGCGGATATAAATGGCAGCACGGTACTTACTCATCTAACCATTGCTAACAAAACTTTTATTTCATGTGCTGTAGTCATGGTTTCAAAAAGGGAAAATCTAGGTGTTAGGAATATCAGATTTAACATCTAATCATAAATGTCCAGCTCTATAAAATGCTATCGCATAAAAATGTATTTCTATTGTAGGTATATTAAGCACGCTAGCTTATACGATAAGAGCGGTGAATATGAAGTACTTTGTGAAAATTCATAGATTTTTTTTTATTATTATTGAAATTTACAATTCTATTAAGTGATAAATACAACGAGGAAATATGAAACAAGTAACATGACATGTACAACATGAAGAGAAACTACCCATTGGTAGCACTCCAATTCATATAATTTAAATAATTAAAGTGAACAATATTACGAAATAATAAAAGATTTATTTCAACGGGGGGTTACTATAAACATTACGCCGCTGTAATTGAGAGCAAATAGGTCAAAACAACCCCTTCCCCCAACTTACACTTCATCTTCTCTTTCATATCAAAATTGCTTCTATTTCTTCCTCATCTCATTCCATATATAGAAGCTTATTCATTTGGAGTAAACCATTTCCGTTTCTAATTTGTTTACCTCCTTTTCAATACTTATTATGGTACGTTTTTATCTTTTGAAAGGACTCTTTTTCTTTTCAAAACCAATTGGAGGTATAAGCGTGTATTCCTGAATTCTCATATTTTGTTCTTAATCCAAGAATATTTTGTTTTCCTAATTTTCATCTTAAGCTTTGACAGGCTAGGTCTTATAAATATATTAAGCTCTAATCATTTAAATGGGCCTATTTGTCAATTATTCTACAATTGATGTTTTCCCTCTGTTGTTGTTGTTCATTAACAATGATTAAATTACTACCGGAATAACATGGAATATCAGGAACTAGACCTAAAATACTACAGCTCAACTGATTCAATGACCCAGTCATACAGATTACTCAACAAAGTTTCACATATTTTAATTCAAAACAAACTTGCAGAAACTGGTGGCTCTTGATGCTATTGAGCCAAATGTGGATTTTAATTTGTTCTCACAACTTAAAAATATAGCCGCTTCTAATTTCGTTGAAGGATATTTTGATCGTTTTTCTGATCTAGGAATACTTGTTAGATACAAAAATTCTATTTCAAAAACTGTATCCAACCATTTATACTCCAGAGACATTGAACGTGGCTACAATTCAAATTACAGCCATATGCATCGACGTATTTGTAGTTGCAACTGCTCAGAAAGTTACGGACGGTAAGTCGTTTAAGAATATCGGGTAGTAACTATCTAAAATTCATCCATGGGAACATTACATACGTTATAAATACAAACGAAATCTGTAAGTGGTGCGGCCAACTTATCAATAACGGTTTAAAGCACTTGATACTGGAGTGTTTGTTTCTCAAGACACATAGAAGGAAATACTTTTTTTTTTTTTTTTTTTTTTTATTGAAATTTACAACTGTATTACATTAAAAATACAACAGGTAAATGTGACATTGGTAACATGACATGTAAAATATGAAGAGAAACTACCCATTGGTAGAACTCAAATTAAAGTTCTATATTAGAAGATCCCGAGGCCATCTTCTTTTCAGACGCCTCGGAGGGTTATCAGGGATAGAGGAGGAAGCAATGTTTGAAACAAGAGGGTTCGGATGGTTCTGCAGTTTGTTATGGAAGGATAGGTATCTGGATTGGGCCAAATCGGAAACATATGGAACATTAAGGTCTTTATGGATGATTTTGTTTGTGACAAAGTAAGGAGCGTTGAGGATTTTACGAAGGATTTTGGATTGTAAGGATTGGATACGAGAGGAATTCGATGGCTTAGTGGAGCCCCAGAGCTCAATCCCGTAAGTCCAAATAGGTCTTATTATTGTCATATATATGAGTCGTTTGTAATTTAGTGAAAGCTTAGAGCGTTTGTCTAGTAAGTGTTGGAGTAGTCGGAAAAGTCGAGCAGTTTCTTGTCGTTTCAGTCTTGTATGAGGATTCCATGTGAGTCGTTTGTCGAGGCGGAGTCCTAGGTAACGAATTTGTTCAACTGGGATAAGTGGGGAATTGTTAAAGAATACTGTAGGACAGGAGGTCATAGGTTTGCGACGCAGGATAAAGGTAATTTGATGGGATTTATTGGAGTTTATTTTAATCCTCCAGTTTTGACACCATTCTTCAAGATTTGTGATGTGTGATTGGAGAGTTTGGGATGCAATTGATGGATCGTTGTTAACAGAAGGAAATACAAATTTTGTTTTTGTCTTCTTATACTGTACTTATTTACTTATTGTCTTCTACTTATAAAACTAATCACCACTAACACTAAATGGGCCAGACTCCATGGCTACGATGTATACTAAGCCAATAAAATGTAAAAAAAAAATCAAAAGAAACTAGTAATCAACTAAGCCATACTGAAATTCATCTGAACCTATAGACTTGAACGGGGGCCGACAGCTAAATTCTAGAACATGAAACATATCCAATCCTTTCAGTTTAAATTCCTTCGAAAAATAGTCAATACTCAACAAAACCTTATCGTGCATGACCTCAACATTTCATATGACCTTAATGTTATTCCATCGAGATTCTCAAACTGTCATCACAATCTTCTTCATAGATTCATAAAATGGTTGTCAATGAAATTGGCCGGGCCATGGTGGTGCCGTAAACGAGTTGGGAATAGATATCCTCCAGTCTCAGGGTTGAATGAATCCCAAAAGAACTGTTAGAAGGGTTTCTAGCCACTTCAGTGAAGTTTTCAGAGTGCTGCATAGATAATAATATTGAGCACTCAACTGACAGTAAGTGGATTTCCAAAATTCAGGATGCGATATTCTCTAAACTATTCCCGAATCTGGGTGTCTCGTTATTGTCATTAAAAAAAAATAATAAAAATAAAAAAACAAAATAAAAATAAATAAATGAAAAAAAATTGCTTAGATTAATTTTTAAAAAAAATTGGTTTTCTTATTGTTTAGGTTATTTTATTTTATTGTCTATTGTATATACTTTTGATTATTATTTTGTTCTATTTATTTTATTTTTTTGTACATATGGTGTGAATGTCATCCTACCTCACTATAACCAATGTCCAACAGACAGATTGTTATAATACTCAAAAAAAAAAAAAAAAAAAAAAAAAAAAAAAAAAAAAAAAAAAAAATTGGCTTTCTCCTAGACCGAAGGCTAACGTGGAACCCACATACAAGATTTAAAAGACAAGAGCTTAATCGACGATATGGCCAACTAAATAGATTACTGAATAGAAAATAGCAACTTTCTATTGACAACAAATTGCTGATCTATAAGACCTTTTTGGAACTACGGAATGGAACTGTGGGGTAAAGCAAAATTTTCTAACATCAAACTCATCTAATCCTTTTTGTGAAAAATCCTTCGAACAGTCGGTGTTCCGTTTTATGTACCCAACAAAACTCTACACCATGATCTTAATTTCCCATTTGTCCGAGACCTTATCCCAGAATATTTTCCGAATTTCACCAGAACCTTACATATCATTCAAATTCTCTTGCACAATCCTTATCTAGCTCTACCCATTCCTACAATCCTCCTCGAAGGTTGAAGCGGCAGTGCCCCTGAGACCTTCTGTAATATGCATATATTAGAGTTCCGGCAATTGCCAAATTCTCCAATCACGTCATGTACGTCTGAGGTCATAGCGCCTCTACTCATCCTCCTTTGTTCGTTAATACCAGTTAAGTGCGTTTTCTAAAGAATAGTTTCAAATATATTAAAAATTAATGAGTGATTTAGAAAGTTAATTGTATTCTCTAGATGTTTTATTTCAGGGCGTTTTTCGTTATTGTTGGCCGTTTAATTACAAATGATTTGCAACTTTATTTTACTGGTATTTTTTATTGCTAAGGGCAATTATTTATTTATTTTTTTATGTTTTATGATACCCTGACGATCCAGCTTTGATAAAAGACCAATTATGACGAAATAAACAAACTGCTAAATCTCAGTGACCGAAAAACTAAGTAGAAATCGTCACTCAGCCATGTTTGGAAGCCATTTTGTGACAGAGAAGCCACTTTTTTTTTTGGAACATTGTCATTTTTTTAATACATAGTTATAAGGAACACAACGATATGCAATTTATAGTGATGTGGAAGGAGGTTGCACGGAGGGGGGGTCTGGCCCACAGACTACCCTATTCCACCAAATCTCCCCCCCCCCCTTCTTTTACATCGCTCCTCCTTCAAAATATTTTAATATGAATAAAAATTTACTTCGCTGACTCATATCAGACAGGTTATTAAATATAAAAGACCATTGCATAAGATCAAAAATGAAAAATAATTTAAACGGAAAATAAAATTTTCTGAAATTTGAAAATCTGTATCTCGTAAACTATTTAATTAATTGAGCCTGTTCTGGGGTTAAATTGTAGCATATTTAATCTAGTTTACGAATGTATAGAATATTTTTTGTCGGAAACTTCCTCCTTCATGGATACGATGGAGAAAACCGAAAAAAAGTGTCAAAATATTGCAGTTTTTAGGGGATATTCAGAGGTGATCCATGGGGGCGTCGAGGTCGAAAATTTGGATTTTGCATCTTCGTCATATCCCATATAAGAAAATAAATATAAACCTTCTACCCCCATTCAATGCAACTTACCATGTACCAGATTACTGTGCTGTAAGGCATAATGGCGTACAAGAAAAATTGGTTGAGTGGGGATTGTTGGATAGTGGGAGATGGTTGAAGGCCACGCCTCAGTCGTCTTCATACCGACTGTTCGTCAAGATGTGGCTGTCCTACTTTATTCGAGTATTCATCATGATCTTTGATCTCATCAGAGCTTTCGTTGGATACATTTATAGTTAGTATGCTTTATCATTTATTTTTAACCGTTTATACATTATTAAATTTAAAATTTGAGTAGCTGAGGAATGTTTCGAAGGAAAAGTTTTTCAATTGTGTGATACTGGTAGAAGTCGAACAGTTGCTTTCACAGCAAAATATATCAAATGAATTATTATTTAATTATTTGTGCAAGGTGTATTTTGCTCATTGAAGGCTGTGTTCTTGTTTTACTTCTATGGAATATTGTTAACTTTTGTAACTCATTTTCCTCTGTATTTTACTTAATACTAAATTTTTTTACTTGATACATTTACTATGTATATATATATATATATATATATATATATATATATATATATATATATATATATATTATTTTTATATATTTACTATTATTTATTTCTTATTTTTTATATATTATATGACCTTTGATGCGGCAGAATGTATTATTATTCAATAAATAAATTTTAAAAACATTAAATAAAATTTACTACCAAAGGGTATTTATTTGTAGTAGTCTCCCACGAGTTTTTTTATTAAATTAAATTAATTATAAGATTTCAAATACATTTTAATTGATTGTTTCAATGTCTGTATGAATCTAACCACTAACGGATCCAAGATTTAATTTTAGGGAGGGGGGGCTTCAGCCCGAAAGATTTTTTTTCTATGTATATAATAGGATAATAACTTCGGAATAAAGAAAGAAACTAACTACCTACATGAAATGGTGTTTAAATGATTCTTAAAGTCCTATTAAATGTAATCAGACGAACAATAATACTTTTAGAAATGATTTTTCCATAAAACATAGTTATACATTACGATTTTGGAGGGAGGGGGGGCTTCAGCCCGAAAGGCTTCCCCTTAGATAGTGTTGCCCAAATCCGAGACCGAGATGAATCTTGTTCTTGCAAACTTAGTCTTGGTCATGGTCTTGTTCTTGCGCAACAGTCTTGAAGTTACTTATTAGCTTATTACTATAGAAATATTACTGTAATTTTTTAAATAGGAGATACCTAACTAAGACCGAATGAAAAATTAGAGGAGTCAAATGCAAAAGTATATTGGTTATACCAATTATTTACATATAGTGACTAAGATTGCCAAATATTAGTAACTATTTTGGCTTAACTTTTATTCAAAAAATCGAATTTTTTTTAACAGTCCTTGTCTTGGTCTTGCAACAGATAGGCAGCCTTGGTCTTGGTCTTGCAAAGTGCTACACCAAGACCGATTTTGGGCAACACTACCCTTAGACCCGCCTGTGAATCTAACTAATAAACAATTTGTTATAAATAGAAGAAAAATAATTTTAAATGTTTGCGTTATTTTAGTTGGTCATCTGAATGGAAGCGAGGGAACAATCAATGTCCTATGCTGGTCGTGGCGTAAATAATATTCGAAACTAACTTAATTAGGAATTGAATATAGAACTCAAACACAATAAAAAAAAATATTTGTTTAGACTATGGTTTGATTCCGAACAGAGAAGGAGTTAATTTCTACTTTTTAAAAAAAATGTTTATATATTTTTTGATGAATAGGTTTATTTTGTTTCTGTTGACATTGCAGATGTTTCAGATCTTTTGCCGCCTTAACAAGCCTACTCCTTGTTCTCTGCCTATGTTAGGATATTTCTCTCTGTTATTGGAGTGGAATTTTCAGAATTTTGTTTTCAGTTAATCATAGCCCGATTCAAGGAAGTACTATAAATATTTAGTTTATATTACCCACATGAACATCAAAGACCAATGAAAAAAACAAAATTATTTTTCCATTTTAGGGGGTTTCTGCCTGAAACCTTCCACTCCTCTCGTAGTCCAGTAAATGTTGGGGGGGCCGATCCCTAGGGCCCTCCCCCCAACATTCAAAAATAAAGGTAAAACTTGTCAGAAGTTGTTCATTAAATTCCCCATAATAACTGGTAGAAAGTCCCAAAGAATTCCGCTTCGGGTTTTGATGGGGGGGAGGGAGTAGAAGAATAGAATTTTTTTTTTTTTTTTTTTTTTTGGAATATCTCAAAAAGTATGAGGTTTTCAACACAAAGATTATTCAGTGCAATGTTAAAGAACTTTAAAATCTTTATAAAAATGACTCTGTACATTTTTTTTTTATGTAATCAATGGTTACGGAGATATTTATGAGATACTATTTGTTGCTCTTCCATTTTAAGCAAAAATTGTTCCAAACCACGAAATTGATGTTGTTCACAGTAGACTATACCTTTTTTAAGTTTAATTTTTTTTTTTTAACATTTTCGATCTTTAAATTTATTATTCAAAGTTTCTTTCTTTTAATAATTCTAATCAGATTAAAGTTTTATATTAGCTTTGTAGATATAAAAAAAACTCCATATCCATTTTACAAGTGTTTCATGAAATTAAAACTGATTAAGTACTACACTTCAACGTCATTTTAAGTCGCTCCTTGAAGTTACTAACTGTTATGATCATTTTTAGCTTTTAAACTTTCACATCCATAGCTTTATTATTACTTCTGGTTATTTGAAACTTTTCGTTATCATTAGGTTCATAATCTGATCATTTTTTTTTTCTTCTTAAAGATATGATTTATAAAATGTTATCTTATAGAATGAATAAGCTTTATGTTGATAATTACTCCTATTTCAATTGTTTCAGATGTGATAAGAACCACAGTGAGAACATTTAATTTTTCACCGGCTTGGATCAGACAAAGTGAGTCAATTTACTTATCTTAATGATAATGACATTATATTAAAAAAATAAGGACAATGATGGTTATTGTGTTACCTAAAAATTGTACATAAATCTTAGCGGACGAAGGCATTAAATTAATCTTTATTATTAACTAACTGTATTCTGTTTTATTCACAGAGTACATAAGGACATTATTAAATGTTGCAATTCATCAAATTAGCTTCACTAATATTATCATTCCTTATTTTTTTTCATCATATTTCTTTTATTTTGTCGCTTTCTTTTATTTTTCTTCTTACTCTACACTCAAATCTTTAGCCTTATGATTATTTATATGTTTATAATATAGATTCCGAAGGTCCGCTGTATGATTTTGAAATCTCTATTAACTACTTACTGAGTTTTCAAAATCAATGAATCCTTCGGGAAGGGGGGTCGATACTCCTCTCCCCTTCCAAGATATTTTATTGCTCTCCTCTTTTCGAAAGCAATGCAATTGAAAATAAAATTTAAAAAAGCATATACAATTACACTTGCTGTGGCGTGTACCATGCTTCCTCCTTGTCTCTTAAAAAAACGTTTCATGCCGAAAATTCATAGCCCCGTTGAAATGTGCCCCTCCCCCTAGGAAATTATGATTTCAAACCCCTTTATGGACACTTCTGGTTCCGACTGCGTCAATGCCTAAGTTGTATATAAAAGAACTGTGGTTCTTAAATTGTCATGTGTAAAGAACTTTTTCAAAAATCCATAAAGAAATTTTTAAAAAACAAAACAAATAATCCACTAATTATTTTCTATATTTTTGATACTCGTTCTGATTCCATATGGGATTTTGGAATATTTCTAGTTATCCCAGCACAATAGACTACAAAACCATCAAAATGAATGCTATACATGAATCTACCATCTTGGATACTCCTCCTCGTGTGTCATTCCATCTTTTGAGAACAAGATCAAGATTAGTCAAAAAAAAAAAATCCTCATTCTGAAACATTACACAGTAATATCTACCAACTCTATATTATGCAGTGGTTACATTTTTTAAAAGGTTATTCAATTTCCGACAAAACTATAAAACAATCGTATAAATCGGACCGGTTTAGCAAAGTTACAATGTATTGAATTCTTATTCACTTATTTCAATAATTCTTCAATTTTTCAGAAGTAAATCTGAAGTTGTGGAGTTTTCCGTTCTGGTTTTCAAGCTCAATCCTTGAAAATTTCGAAAAGCCTTTAGGATTTTCCATGCTCGATTTATAGCTGCTGTTTTTGACTCCTGGAGTTAACCCTCTTAAACAAATTTTCCCCGCATCTTCATATCAATATTCCAAATAATATTTGGTCTATTTAATATTGATAGTTCATAATCCTTATATTTATATTCAATTCATACCAAATCATTAATTTTTATTTTATGTTATATTTAGCAATAAGGATTTAGAAGGATACTGTTACCTATATAATTCTTTATATATATACGATTACGAGTTTTTTAAATGTTGTCCTATTGGGGTGTCCGAAAAATAATGCAGTATTTTGGTTTAAAAAGAAAAAAAGAAAGATTGAATACTGTTTTATTTAATGAAAATAGTCTCCACTACTATCAATACATTTCTGCCAACGTGTTGGTAACTTTTCTATTCCCTAGTAATAGAATTTTCCATTTTTAGAATTGATAATCTCCGAAAACGCATTTTCTAATTCACTTTGTCCATTAATGTTTTTGTCACGTAACTATTGGTCCAGATGTCTAAAAAAAATAATAATCCGCAGGCGAGAGGTCCGGAGAGTAGGGAGAATGTGACAAGAGTTTCATATACGAGCTCCAACAGTTTTATGACGTCACATGTGAGACATGTGGCCTGGCGTTGTCATGCAACAAAATGGACCCAATCCGATTGATCAAAGATAGCTTCATTATTGTCAATTTCTGATGCATTGCATTAATTTGGTTACAATACGTTTTGGTATTAATAGTTTCTTCAAGATTTAGGAAGCTGTAGCGTATCCAGTGTTGCCCAAATGCGAGACCGAGACGAGTCTTGATCTTGCAAACTCAGTCTTGGTCTAGGTCTTGGTCTTGCGCAAGACTCTCGTTCGGTTACCTATTAGCTTATTACTAGAGAGGTATTACTGTAATTTTTTAGATAGGAAAAACCTAACTAAGTCTGAATGAAAAATTAAAAGAGTTAAGTGCAAAAGTATATTGGCTATATCAATTCTTTATATATTGTAACTAAAATTGTCAAGTATTATTAACTATTTTGTATCAATTTTTATTCAAAAAATCGATTTTTTTTACCATCCTTGGTCTTGGTCTTGCAACAGTTAGGCGACCTTACTATACTATACATGTCCAACAGATAGGCGGTGTTGGTCTTGATTAAGGGTCCACCAAATGAAGTCCACCAAACAGTAACCATTTTTTTTTTTTTTTTATGAATTGGAACTTTGGAAAATTGTCGAGCCACTGTCCAGAACGTCTGCTGTATAATCGTAAATTATCTACTTTTTATCACAAGTAACAATTCTGGACAGAAAAGGGATATTTTTGTTTCGGCAAAGAAGTGTAGAACAAACTTCATAACGTTGTTTTTTCAGCGGTCGTTTGATGTGTGTGGAACTCAACTTTCAAGATTTTTTTACTATTCTAACAGCCTTGAGGTGGTCTTCGACGATCTATTTGCTAGGGTCAAGTTTCTCTGCAAGTTCTCGAACAGTTATTCTAGGGTTTTCTTCCACCAAAGCCCGCGAACATCGCCGTCAAGAAAGGAAATGTCCTTCCACGGTCTTCTTTGTCTTCAAGGCTGAAATCTCCCTCCCGAAATTTTTTGAACCACCGTTGAACAGTGCTCTCACCCCTAGACTTTATTAATTTTTCTGACCGTCTAGGCCCCATTACGGCCGATTTTAAAATCACTCGTTGATATCTTAGTAAAGACTGAATTATTTCAAAGCAGCGAAGTGCTAAAGTGGTAAATAAACATTATAGTTTGGAAGAGGATAAATAAATGTTGACATTTCTACGAATGAATAATCCAGTAAACTTAAACAGTTTGTTATGTAGAGGGATATTTTAAAGAAAACTCAAAATATGCATTATTTTCCGAACAAGCCAATATTTTAGTTGTTTTAATTTCTTTCCGTTCTTCAATTTTATTTAAACGCGAATTTCAATATTTTTATTTAAAAAAGGAAAGAAATTGAAACATATAAAATAATCAATACATAACAATCGTATCCTCATATTAACAGATATCAAGCCATTAAAGTGAATAATATTAATTTACCTCGTCTTGCTAATTGTGTGAAGCTACAAGAAAACACGAATAACATGTTTTTTTTTTTGTTTTTTTTCAGTTATGACTACTGAAGAGGACCTAGCATTGGAGAGAGATCTTGTCATCGAAGCAATGGGTAACGTACACATCATTCTTTAGCCCATAGTAAAATATTTTTCTTTTTCAGGATGAGTTGAACCATGTTTGAATTTGTATTAATTATTAATACATCGCCAACATTTGAGCAATAGTTAAAAATATATAATAAATTAAAACGATTTCTAATTTCACGTACCGTCTACCATGATGAACCTTTAATAATCTCTTAGAAATTCTTCTTAACTGGTCACGTAACATTTATCCGCACTATATTATTCTACTTCTACAGGGTCTTCTTCGCTTTCCTATGTCATTCGGACATTGTGGACCGTCAAATCTAGCGGAGTAACAGTCCATATCCTGAAGGATGGGGGGAGGGGAGGGAGCTAAAACTATTGGGGATGAATCTGGTTCTTCTAACAATCAAAACAACAATGTCGCCCGCAGGAAAAAATGGTTCTCGATTATTTAAAAATAATCAATAAATTTCAATTGAGATTTATGTAGCATTTGCAATGTTAGTTTATTTGTTAATGTTACTTTTTCAACTTTTTTTTTTTCAGACTATAGTGAGGAGTCTGATTATAGAATGATAAACAGATGGAATTATCAACCCATTATAAGTAATTTATGTTTAATTATTATAAATAGAATAATAATACTAATATGAATGATTCACAAAATTTAAAATATTTTCGTTAGCACTGACGAAAATATCATTATTTTATTTTTTTATAAATATAAAAAAAAACTTATAATACCGAGGACTAAAACCCGTCAAAATTATTTACAGTTTCAAAGGCCCTTCGTAACAGATCATTTCGTCAAACTTCCTTATATGACGGTAAGTTATTATTAACCTTTCTATACCTTTATTATAACTATATTGTAAAGAATATTATCATTATTATTTTTTAAATCTTGTACACAACAATCCAAAAAAGATCTTGTACATACGACGTAAGAGCGATATCCTTTCTTTAAACCTTTTGGAGTGATGTAAAATTACTATTTTATACATTTACCTTCATTTGAAAATCTATTTAATCAATATTGGATTGGTCGAACACGTGATTTCGTGGAATATCTTTAATAATTTTTTCCCAAATATCTTATTTTTTTTTTTAATCTTAGAAGTTCTCCATTGGTTATGGAACATGGACTGACAAACTCTATATTTTTCACGCCTTTTCAAAATATCATAACAAACGATTTACCACATGTCTTATGATAATTCCCTTTGAAATGGCATTTTGAAAGAGATGAAGAATGAATTTTATCAAGCTTCCGTTTAGACGATTTCAACCCTTCTTCCTTTGACCAAACCTGAATAAACCACTTTATCAAACAAAGCGCAAAAATCACTGGATAATTTTCAAACTAGTAAGTTTGGAGTGGCCAATAACCCTCCTCCCCCCCGTTCTCACCCCCAAAAAAACTTGTTAGAAGCTCTTGGTGTCATTCAATTTTTTTAGTTGAAATATGAAAACAGATTTAGGAAAATTTTATATTAAATTGATTTGCGTAGTTAGTGGTGAAATATTTGGTTTTATCTTACTCTTTCAGGTTTATCACCAATGAAAATTATATTAGCAATAGGTAGAAATAACGTAAAAACAATCATCGAAAAGTGAAATAGGCTAATAATGGCAGGGAATTATCTGCACTCTACAAATATGAAAAGCTTATTCATTTTACTTTTAGGAAAGATTGTAAGAATATAAAGTATTCGTTGATTGCCTCTTCCCAACTAATGATTACATTTTGTTTCTCTAAAATTCAAACTTATTATTTCTTTGACAGATTTGGTCTCTAGCATTTTTGTCAAGCTTCCCTAAGATCTCGGCTCTAAGGGTGTTATACGTAGTCGTTTCTCCAACTCCACTTGATCATTCAATCAGAAAGGAATACTTTTATGAAACTTAATGTAAAAAGGACTCCTTTCAGCCAATTAGATTGCAGAGACGATTATATAAAACAATAACGTTATTTTCTTATTTTTCTTTTCTTAGGAAGCTTCTGTTTATATATTTTTCTAAGGTTAAAGCAGATATAGTTCCATTTTTCTTTAGTCTTTTTTAATCACATCTATTACATCTGACGTTTCGGGACAATTTTCCCATCCTCAGAGAATTCCTTATGTTTACTGAAATTAACTATTTTTAATCAACTCTATCTGTTGTATAATTATCTACCTTGATTTTGTGATGTGGCACCAGTTGTCAAAAATACAATAATTTAGGATAAACATTTATGTTAAGTCAAACATAATTACTAATTACAAACATAATATATCATAATTACTAAATGTTATAACATTTATAGTGATTTTTGAAAAACATCACAATAAACATCAATTCTAGAAACATAGCCGAGCTTGTTCAAATGGTTTTCTACGCTTGGGTGCGACACATTCAGGCCACAGCAATCTCTTTCACTGATTGGGTGTTATTTTGATCAACAATGGCCTTAAAATTTCTCGTTTCAATTTCATGTGGACGACTAGACAGTTGAGCATCATTGATGTCAAAATTTCCTGAGTGAAATTTGGCAAACCAATTTTGGCAGGTGCATTCGGTTAAGGCATCATCCCCATAAACAGTTTCTCAGTTCAGTTTGAACTAATGCCAGGATAAGTTAAAATATTTTTCCGAATAAAGTTCGTTTAAAAAAATCATAAATTATTTGCGATTTTTTTTAAACATCTCTCAACTGTACTACAGTTACCCCATTTAAAAAAAAAAAATCCTTGTTTAAGAAGCTTTAAGTCCATATTAATTAAGATGTGATTTATTCGAAAAAAAAATTTGATAATCTCCTCAAATTGTGTAAAGATATTACGTGATTTTCTATCCAGTCACCTAAAAGTAAACGTGTTTTCTTGGCAAAAATTACTATATATTGTAATAAACATAATAGCCTAAAAATATATTTTATTTATAAACGAAACAAATTAACAAAAAATTTTTTTGTTAATTTTTCAAATATTTTTAATCTAAGGTGGTTGTGGAACCCTTTTTTTCTCCCATGTTTCTGTCATAGGAATTGATGGGTATTTGTCAAGTTAAGATTTTATGAAACTGTGTTTTTCTTCCAGATATCTGTCATAGGAATTTATATGTATTTCTCGGTTACAAGTTTGATGTTTCTTAGTAAAATCCACATTTTAAATAAAGAAACCTACTGATTGCTCCAATTATATTCATGAAAACGTAAATATTGCTGCTAGAAACGTTTATTTTGCCATTTATAAATACGTATAAATTCCTATGACAGAAATATGGGAGAAGAACAGAATTACATAACCATCTTACAATAAAAATATTTGAAAAATCATGATTTTAAAATATTATTTTTATAAGTAAAAATTATTTTTATTGCTATATATTCCATAACATGGAAAAACTAAAAATAAAATCTTTACAACAGTTACTTTCAGTCATTTTTGCAGAAAACACGGTTGCTTTTAGATGACTGGACAGAAAATCACATCATTTCTTTACACAACTTGAAGAGAATCTCAAAAATTTTCTTTATAAACCTCAACTTAATTAATATGGACTTATTAAAAGGGGAAGTTATCTAAAAGTGAGGTAAATGTAGTACAGATAAAGAATGATAAAAAAAAATCAAAAATAATTTATCATGTTTTTTTAAACGGAACTTAGCTCAATATTCCCGCTTAGTTGTTCTCTTTAAATCGTTGTATTAATGAAAAACTCTACTTTCGTTTGAAGTAAATTTCATCTAGTTTACTATGAATTAATTTTTAATTAATTAATTAAATAAATCAAATATTTTTTTCAGTTATCGCTTCTCATTCAACAAAAAACGTGACTCGCTTAAAAAAAAAACAAATCTTAAATTGCCTACCTTTCTGTTGGGAATTGGGCAATTGTTTATATAAACATTTTTGTATATGTCGTGATGTCTAATATTTACATTTTAAACGTTTCCCTATACTTAGAGGACACCCTGTATATAAATACAGTCCACATAAAAAAATCATCATAAATTATTATAATTTGCATCCGCTTAATAAATGATTTTATTTATTCAGCTTTAGGATTTTTTAAAGAAATAATAAAAAATATTAAAAAATCAACACTTACCAAGATCTTACACCATTAAATGATCGGGAACTCACTTTATAACTCCTGACTGTGTCACAGGGGGTTCTCTAAACTCTTAAAGTCGATATGCATGCCTCATATAACGACGCTATTAAACTATACATCCGTCAAATCAATCGTCTATTCCTTACTAGACAACTGAAAAATAAATTTAGGTAATATTCCAAGCAATAATGTTTAACAGTTCATAAATTATTATTTATCTTAAGATTTTAATTAAATAATTAGGTACTCCCTGAAATAAATTGAATTTCCATCACATCTCATTATTTCTACCGGGCTGTTCCCATATTTGTACTTTAACGTAAGAGGGGCTGCCTTAATAACTTGAGTATATTTCAATTTATATTATTAATTCCTCTTGTTCCAATTATTATTATGTATTTATGACTACATGGTGTTGCCATATTCATTCTAAATATGTTTCAAAGTGAAATAAATTCTTTGTTTATATATAAATAAATGTTTTTAATAATAACATAATATTAAAAAAAGGAGGATTTTATTGAATACACTTATTCAATATAATCCTCCATTTTTTTAACATATTGAGTATTTAACAAATGTGTTTTGTATGCTATAATCTACCATTTGAATGCCTAAATGGGACAAAAACATTGAACAGAAAAAATAATAGTTAATTCAATTATTGATCCATTTGTAAAACATTAATTATAAACCATTAAAAACGGGTTTAATTTGAGGTAATTTAAATAAAATCGACAGTGAAAATGATGAAGTAGAAAATAATCAAAATACAAACGGTAAGAAAAATAAATTACAATAATATTGATTAATTAAAATTTAAATAGATCTTCAGCGTGATTTGAATTCATTAAATTTTTAAAGCCTCTAAAAACGAAGGTCTCAAAAAGTGGGTTATACGTCATAGTGGGACAAATTACCAATCTAGGTGGAAAAACTCTAACACTTGATATTTTATTTTTATTTTAGCTTTGGTTTTAATTGCCTTAGAGGCACATGATATTCTACTAATTTATACACCAATATTAAGGAAAAAAGTAAGGAAACACGTCGGAACAATAAATAAATATATATATATATATATATATATATATATATATATATATATATATATATATATATATATATATATATATGTATATATGTGGCATGTACTTATATTGTAATTTATTCAATGAATTTCAAATATTCGTAATTTTAAAAAATACAGAATCAAAAAGTGTATTAATATTAATAATATTAATGTATTAACTAATTTAAAATGCTAAATTCGAAAAAAATATTTTATTTTTATTTTATAAAATTTATTTGACATACTACTCAGGTTTGATCCAATACTTCAATTAGCAGTTAGAGTCGTTAATTAACTGAGACTTCTCTAGCGAAAGAATTTTTTATCTGCGCCTCACTTATCTATTACTTCTTAAACATTATTGAATTTACTTCGACTATAGCAGTCGTCGAATCGTTTAAAATGGCGAACAATATTCATAGAAGAAGTATTTAGCGAAGTTTCTTCACCAAAAGAACTCAAATGTTATTGTATTGCACAACCAAAAACTATGTTAAAAGACTAATTTAACACATTCTTGCCATTTTGTTTTAATTATCGCCATTCCCAATTTGAGATAATTTCTAACCCAGCAAAAGAGAGATGTTTTCCGACTCGATTCGTTGATAATATCATTAATTATAGGTTATATATCAGTAGCAAATTGTCCAAATGCCGAATAACTCACTTATTTAAATAGAATATTTTTAAAAATAAAATAAAATAATGTGTCAAAAGGCAATCAACTCATTTATTTTTATTTAATATTCCTACGAAGCAACATCTCAGAAAAATTTCACATGGGTATTTTTTGGTATATTTTAGTAAATTACTTTTGAAGTTATAAAATTACTTTATTTTAGACCATGTAGAAAATAAATAAATTAATTAGTCAAATTATAAATTGATAATTTGATGAATTAAATAGTTGTCATATTATTGACTATATATAAGGCATTGTATATCAAATAAAAATTATTATTGTAAAAAAAAAAATTAACTGGTGGTACTAATCTCAAATGAAAGATAAGACAATAATCGAACAAAACATGAGCCATCAAATCAGTAGTTGTTTAGAGGGTCGTGTTTATCGTTTGGAACAGTTATAATCAAACAATTTATGATTATCTTCTAATTAAACATCCCTCTTTTATCTAATTATGTCGAAAATTTCACCATTATTTTTTTCCAAGAAGATTGGCTATACTTCTCACTGTGTACCGTCAAGAAAATCGTTAGTATAAATTATCAAATATCAAGTTGAGAACCAATAGACAGCTAGTTTTATTATTACTTTTTGAACAACCTGATTCTTATTTACATTTACATAGATAGAAAACATTATATATATATATATATATATTTTTTTTTTTTTTTTTTTTTTTTTTTTTTTTTTTTTTTTTTTTTCCTACGTGGTAACCCCACACAAGGATCGTTTATTTGATTTTCCTTCATGCTCCATGGCTTAAAGACATACTACATGAATTACATTTGTTTACAATTGTTTCTTTTCTAGTTTTACATGATATACATTTTTAGTTCAAATTTATATACATTAACAAACAAAAATACAAAGAATAAACACACAAAAATAAAACAAAAATTAAATCGGAAAATTAAATATTAAACACACAAAGTCAGTCCAACAAAGCCAACAACAAATATATAAGAAATATATATATACCTGAAACAAGTTCACAAGGGTTTAAAAAAATATATATATTTTTAAACCCTTGTGAACTTCTTCCAGGTATGAATAAAACATGCTTTTTAGAAAACAGAAAGGACAGTTTTCATTCTATTGGATTCGTACGTAAACTAAAAAAATGATACTTCAATTAATACTACGTGTGGTTTTATGTAATTTAATTACTGAGGATGGGGGGAGGGCAGAGAAATTAGGATTCATAATTTATTCATTTAAGAGCTACAATAGTACTCCTTACTCTTGCAATATACCAGAATATTATTTAAATATAGACAAAAGTCATAAGTCAGTGCTTGGGCTAAATTATAAAACAAAACATCGTCATCATAATCTTACTTCCCAAGTACCGCTATGCAATGTGGAGCACTTCCTCTAGAGTTTGGACCAGGCGTTTCGCTCGAAGTCCAACTTCCTTCTTCTTCACTAATCCATACTTCCCGAACGCTTCCAGGCACTGTCCTCCCAGAAGTCTTCCTCTAGATATTCTTCCTTCCACACCGGTTTCGTAAGTCTTCCTGGCTGTTGTTTCTTCATCCATCTCAAGATGTCCGAACCACCTTAGCTTGTGCAACTACCTCTAGGATGTTCTCCGCCGGTTTTACTTCGAGGCTAGTCCATATGGTGATGTTCCCGAATTCTATCGCATAGACCTTTCCTTCCACTTTAAGAACATAGGGCACCTCCATAGATTCGCCTTCTTTTTTTTTTTTTTTTTTTTTTTTTTTCAAGGTGAGCGTCCATTATTTGAAAGAGAACGAAAAGAGAGCGTGAAGCGTCGATATGTAGACGACAAGTTTGGTCTTCACGATGTCCTTTATTTTGCCAATAAAACCCCTTTGAAGCGAACAAAATAATTTCCCAGCTGCTCTGATTCTTCGAGAACTTAGATATCGTTTATATGTTGCGTTAATATCATGATAAAATAAAAAAAAAGATAGGCCTAAATTAATGCTTTGAATAACAATCAACATTATATTTATATTTTTTTTAATTGTTTCTCTTATTTTGATATTTAGAGGATGAAGACAGTTTGGATGAAATATTCACTGATGCAAACCAGTCTCAGGTAAGCATTTACTGAGGCTTTTTTTTTTAAAAAATTATCTGAAACTATTAAAATTTAAATATCAATTGCACATTTCCTTACATATTTTTTGTTTGCCTTTGTTTTTTTTATTTACCTTTTAAGTAAGATTTCGACTTACTTGGGAGACTTATTTGTGTGTGTATATTTAAATACTCATTATTCCTATTTTAACAGGTGGATCCGAGATATGTTCCTGGCGAAGATTTATTTTGAAGGGTAAGCTTATTTTCATGTAATTGCAATTTTAAATGTATATACATGCTTAAATCCACATTTCTGGCATTAAATTTATAACTTCTACTAACAAATCACGGTCAGTGAGTCAGTTTTCGTAAAAACGTCTTACTCAAAATGTTTTTCAAAAATAACAAAAATTGTGATCATTTCCTGCCAGCTTTACCAACCAGCTGTACCAGTAATAGGCAATTTTCAAGTCATTAACATGTAATAAGCATTTAAGTAAAAAAGAGAGTACAAGTACAAATAGATTTGAAGCACCACTTCGAAAAGTTATTAAATCTTGATAATTTCAACTTAGTTTAGTATATCTCAAAGGTTTTATGCTAAACGTACAATATAGTTTATTAATGTCTCTATAATTATGTTTTTTTTTTTATTACATAGCTATCTGCATTCCGAGCCTTCGCGTTGGTGAGCCTTGATATAATTTTTAAGAACTATGTATCAAATATATTTATAATATTCCCTGTTTATTTTTATATATTCACATTATGATTTCATTGATTTTTCAATGGCCCTTTCAAAAGGAAATATGTTATATTTATTTTTACAAAAGTTGAATTCCATTTATAATATAATTTATATTTACATTTCAGATGAAGCTGCCAGCAACAATATTTTTGAAGCCATCCTGTTTATTCAACTTATAAAGTTTATGATAATGATATTTTATTATGTATCCTGATATCAATAAAAATATTTTTAAAAAGTATAATGTCTACAATAATTTACCTATATAATAATTTATATATATATATATATATATATATATATATATATATATATGTATATATAAGTATAAATATAAATATATATAGTATAAATATATATTTATATGTTGAATCGCAACTGACAGATTCTGATCTTAAGCATTCTTAGCCTCTACTTATCATTTAATTAAAATATTTGATATCTTATGTAGGTTTTTATGAGGTTTTTCCTAATGTATAAAATGGATTTCTATGGATATTCAAAATGGATCAATCTACTAAACAACATTCATACCACTATATGTATGAAGGTTACTGCAACCACAAACATGGAATGTGTCTTTTTGACATGATGTAATGCATGTATAAATAAATGAATGAATAAATAAAATTTAAAAAAAGTTAAAATATTTGCACAAAGTGGTTATACTACATCAAACTTCTTGCTCTGATTTGATTGGTTTATCTAGCTGAATGAACAAATAACTCATTTCAGTATCATAGGAATTAATCTAAAATATTTGATTTAATTTTTTATAAAGGTTTAAAAATGTATCTTATCAAAGTTTTATATCACGATATAGCACTAATTATAATTTTTCAAGTTTATTTACTAATTATAAAAAGTATATACATATATATATATATATATATATATAGAGAGAGAGAGAGAGAGAGAGAGAGAGAAAGAGAGAGAGAGAGAGAGATAGACAAATAAATAAAAAAAACTTTATTCTGGGACTAAGTTCCTTTAAAATAACAAAATTGTACAAAAGAATAGAATACTACTTGCCTAAAAGTTTGAAACAATAAATAAAATTGATAAAATAGACTAAAAAGAAAATAAAGAAAATCTTAGGTGAACAAGCTATATACAATACAGATAAAACTATGTACAGAGCATTTAAAACTATGAACAAAACACTTAAAACTATGAACGAATCACTTGAAACTATGAACAAAACTATACATAAGAGTTGAACAACATAAACATACACTTTGAGAAATAAAGAACGAAAAAGAGATAGAATAAGTTAATTTCATAAAAAAAAAAACTTTACTTGTATATATATATATATATATATATATATATATATATATATATATATATATAAAGTTAGTTATAATTGAATAAAAATAAATGTTAAAAAAAATAGATGTATTGAAATTCCTACGTCGATAGTAGGAAATGCCTGTACTATCTCTTACCAAGCATATGATTATATGATTGCTGCACAGTACATATATAGTATTAATAATTAGCTGGTATCTGGGCTGTTTTTGGAACAGGAATTGGAATAGGAGGTTTTTGAATGTGTATAGGGAGGGGGCATGACGAATTTTGATCGGGAGGGAATTCCAAAAGTTGACAGAGCGGGCATTGAAGTAGTTTTGGAATGAGACAGATCTATGAGAAGGGATGTATAGGTCAGAGGGTCGAGAACTTGTAGTGAGCACGGGCGGATCTACGGGGAGGGCTTTCGGGCTGAAGCCCTCCCTCCCCCCCGAAAAATGGTAAAATATAACCATGTTTTATGGAAAAATATATTAAAAAGATATCTCTTAAAGTATTATTGTTCGTGTAATTACATTTTAAAGGACTTAAGGAATCACTTAAACACCATTTCATATAGATATTTAGTTTCTTACTTTTTTTCCAAAGTAATTATCGTCATTTTTATGAAAAAAAAAAAGCTTTCGGGCTGAAGCCCCCCTCCAAAAATTAAATTCTGGATCCGCTAGTGGTAGAGAGGGAATGGATTGAGGACTTAAATTGGAGAAGGTTGTAGGCATAATAAGGACGATGATCGGTAATAATTTGATAAAGGAATGTGTCTAGGAAATATTGTCTTCTTAAGGAGGGGAAGAGCCACCTTAACTCAGTGTAATGGTGGCAGACACGGGACCGTCTCGGGGTCCCAATTACAAATCTTACGAACCTATTCATAAGTCTTTTTAGTCTATCACGGAGTTCCACCGAGAGGCCATCGTACACCACACAACTGTAGTCTAAATATATACATATATATATGTCTCGTCCTTCCGACCTTTATACCCCTTTCCACAAATCTGCCTCCTTTCAACACTCCTTTATTGTCCGCTCCACTACCTTTTGGAATTCCATCCCACTTAAAATCCGCCATGCACCATCCCTATCCATATTTAAAACCTTCCTATTGCAATTCCTCCTTACAATTCAATCAGAAACTGGATAGCCATTTATCATGTAACAAAATTGCATTTTTCTCTATTTATCATTAGTATATAAATATGCATTCTTTTTTGAGCATGGACAAGATGTCTAGTCACGTTCTGTAATGTAAATACTTCTGCTATCACTTAGTTTTTAGTTATTTTTTTATTGTAATACGTATTTTGTCCAGATGGAATGTTAATTTTTATTTAAAAAATTGTTATTCTTAAGGGACTTTGTCCCAGAATAAAGTTGATTCTTCGATTCTATTCGATTATATATATATAAACTCTACCATGTTCTGAATTTCTCTTGATACTAGGATCTTTTCCTCGTTTCCTCCAAGTAAATCTCTTATTTTACCAAGTACCATATAACGTGCTACAACTTCTTGATATAACAATGTTCAGATAAAATCATCAGATAAAATAGCTAGTTTTATATATATAAAATATTTAATGATTGGTTCAGTATTTTTTGAACTCAGCGGTTACAAACGAAAACCAGGATTTCCTTTAAAACTGCAGGATCATATTTTATAAATATTAGATACTCTAGAATTTATTCTAAGGCCTATCCTTTATCATAAAAATAATTCTATGACAGTAAAATATATCAATAATATGAGAATAAATCCTGTGATTTATTCATTTAGATTGCCCGTTCACACAACTGGGTTTCTATCGAGATAAAATAGTGAATATATCGATAGTAGGGGCCAGGTGTGGTGGCACGACTTTTTGTTCAATACATTCGAAGTAAAATACTGCCTTCACTATAGAACTTGTTCCGGGGCTTTTTATTCCATTACAATATTGTCTACTGTACTTCTTCAACTTCAATAAAAAGTTAGCATTTCTCACTCATGAATATAACCGATATTCATATCATTGTTTATTTGGTAACAAATTTGGTGACAATTTTAATTTTCTTTGTAATTAGTTTAGTTTTTTTGCTGCTTTATCTTGTAAAACTTAGAAACTAGTTTAGCATTGGTTCATCGATTTTTTTTTTCACATATTTAATACATAAGTTACCTACGAGAGGAGTTCGATGGAATTTAGTAAAGCAACAAAGCTGAACTCTGAAAGTCCGAATAGACCTTAGTATAGTCATATAAATGAGTCTTTAGTAGTGTTCCCCAATTGTGAACAAGCAAAAACGAGTCTTGGTCTTGCGGAAGAGTCTCGCAACAGTCTTGCAGTTACCTACTAGTTTGTTACAATAGAGATATTAGATAAAATACGTAATTCTTTCGATAGGGGAAACTAACTAAGCCCGAATGAAAAATTAAAAGAGTTAAATGCAAAAATATATTGGTTATACTATAAAGTATTAGTAACTATTTTGCCTTAATTTTATTCAAAATATCGATTTTTCGTTGAACAGTCTTGGTCTTGGTTAAAAGACCGATTTTGGACAACACTAATCTTTAGTAACTAATCAGAAACTTTGACTGACATTTATTTCATACTATTCTAAATAAGTAAAAAAAAAAAAACCAAGAGAGAGGAATCCAATGTTAGGTTGTAATTGGAAAAATTCCAACCACATTATTTCTCCAAAATGCTGGTAAAAATAAAAGAACCATCAACGTTTCGCAAATTCACAGAAAAAAAAAAAAAAATCGCTTGCTGGAAGAATGTATCTGAGTGATCAGCTGTTTTCGATAACCTTCATTCGATGTATATTATCATTTTTATTTTTCTGATTATTATAATTATACATTTTTCTTCATATTTTTTTGTGACAAATATATGAATTTTACTTGGATATTACATGTATTTTATCTATCCTTTTTTTCCCCTGATCAGCTGTTTGATTATAAACTGCCTTAGCTGTGTTACCTTACCTTATTCCAGCAAGCAAGTGGATTGCATGCAGTAATGTGAACTTCAATTTGCTTTTCCTTTCTTTCATGATGATGTCAGAATTGGAGAAAGGTCGACTTTTTTTTTTACGTGCGTTTCGGAGATATGAGGCTTTGTGGTTGGAATTTTTTTTCCTGGAAGCTAACATTTTTTTTTCATATTTTTATTGCCGAGTGACGCGGATTCATGAAAAAGACAAGTGCTCTACTCTTTGATCACCAGGTACTCTGGAACCTCAGCAATATGTTCAAATTTTAATCAGTGATGATGGACTCAAAACCAACCAAGAACTAATATCAGATATTAATCTTTAGGTCCAATCTGCCGTACCCCAACTAATGTTGCCCAAAATCAGTCTTGGTCTTGCACATTGCAAGACCTAGACCAAGACCGCCTAACTGTTGCAAGACCAAGACCAAGGCTGGTAAAAAAAAATCGATTTTTTGAATAAAAATTAAGGCAAAATAGTTACTAATACTTGACAATTTTAGTTATTATATGTAAAGAATTGGTATAACCTATATACTTTTGCATTTAACTCTTCTAATTTTTCATTCAGGCTTAGTTAGGTTTCATCTTCCTAAAAAATTACAGTAATATATCTATAGAAATAAGCTAATAGGTAGCTGCAAGACTGTTGCGAGACTCTTGCGCGAGACCACCCCCAAGACGGAGTTTGCAAGACGAAGACTCGTCTTAGTCTCGCATTTGGGCAACACTAATCCCAACGCTGTTTCCCACGGATTATGGTTGTTTTCCGTTATTCTTCTCATGAGAGTCGAGAACCTCGATTGTAGGTTTTCTGTCGTCTATGAGCAGTTCAACAGGAGAGCTCATAGGATACATTCCGAAACAGATTTGCTACCCTTAGTAAACTTCTGTGAATATCCATCTCCTGTACAATTCGGTGAATATTTCGATTTTAGAGACTTGAG